TTATTATTCATTACGCAAAAACTATATCAGTGAAGGGGCCTTTACTATTGGATACTTAAGTACAATAATTTTAATACATGTGAAATTAATTTTTAGATGTCAAGACAGGGAAGAATTCTCATTCAAGTACTGTCGTATTTCTAGATGTCATTATGTGAATGGGAAAAAAGAAAATCTTTCAACGTTATTCAATTATATCACAGGAAAATCTTTTGACTTCTTGGAAGGTGGATCAATATGTAAAAGGTAGTATTTATTTTGTAGTCTTTCATTGGAAATTAATTATGGAATAAATAAATATACATTAGGTAATATCTATCAAATTTCAGATCAAAAACAGAGAAAGATGTACCTCAACCTAGTATCTCTGAGCTACAAATTCCATCCCTTAGATCATCCATAACCATTTGTGAAAATGATTCATCTCATAAAAGTGTTCAAAAAAAAGCTCATTCGTGTAACAAATTGGATGTAATATGTCTCCACCTGGCCAACGACTAACCACTGCTCAATATTTTTATTGCTATATTCTTTAATTTTATTCTAAATGTGAATTTATATTTTTTATGGGTATATTTATTAACTTTGGAATAATTAATAAATGATCAAACTAACAAAAAAGAAAATTTGTGTCGTTTTAAGTAATTTAATTTTACTTTAGATACCTACCTACTTATTTAAAATATTGAAACATTGTATATAATATTGTAATAAGTAACATTTTAAGCCATGTATGTTATTCGGTCAAATAAATTAAAAACGTTTAGCTAGAAAGTTTTTTATTAAAATTAAAACTATAATTAAAGGCATAAAAGTGTATTATTTATAAAAAAAATATGTTGTAGATTTCAGATATTTGTTTTCGTCTCTTCCTCTGTTATTTCCTGGCAATCCATCGACTTTCGATATGGGTAACTGATATATTGTAATGTCCACAAGTGCATAAGGCAGTTTTGTGATGGCATAAGTATAGGCCTCTCACATTCTGATCTATGAATTGAGCTATCTTCATCAAGTTCTACCCATAATTATGTAAAGCAAAAGTTAAACTTTTTGAATTATTATTTACACGTATTTTGACCCACCTGAACATTAGGTATAAATACGTAAATACGATCTCTCATACTGGTATGTATGTACTTCGGCTTTTAATAGTCCCAAGCTTGCCACAAAATCAAAACTTTTTCATTTGGTGCGATTTAACTGCATTTTCTTCTGTTGAAATAAGTTTCATCTTGTCAGCTTCCAAAAAGTCCACAATTATTGTACTGAATTTTAACAAACATGAAACACATAAATTCTGAACATGTTTAACGAAAGCCATGATTTATGTAAAATAAAATTAATATTTAACATGTATTTAACAAAAACGACAAAAACAGTAAACAATACTACGAAAAACGAAAAAAAAATTTGAATTTAGGGACGGTGGTAAAATATCGATATATTTTATAATTTATCGAAATACTCCTCAATGTTTTGCACAGAAAAATATATGCTTGCTGAAAAATATAAAAATTCCTCGAAAAGACGGTATCAGTTAGTCAAGTTACCATAAAATTAATGATTGATTATACGTAAAATTATATTGTGAATGTCATCGACCATTTCCAACGTAATTTGAGCTCTTTTTATTTCGATTCTACTTTCAAGGAATATTAACGAATCTATGAAAGAAAGTCGATATATAAAACGCTCTAGTGATATAAGTATAATATTTTATATTTTATTTTACGTAGAAAATCGAAAATTAAAGGAACATAATATATAAATGTATCGATATCGATATATTTTTAAATTTTACCATCCCTCTAGCAAGACCTTTTAACATCTCTCTTGCCGAATCTGGCCGAACACCGCTTTCGGGTCATGACAGTTCCCGAATAAATTTCGAGAAATTTTTTGATTGGTTGGGATGAAAATCAGTAAAAATATCAGTCGGGCAATTTCGTAAATTGGAGAAAATTATATTATAATCCCTAAAAATATCATAAGAATATGAGTCACTAGCCAGAAATGTTTTATAATGAGCTTACAGAATCCCATAGCAGACGTCTTAAAAAACTTTCTCGAAAACGTTGCTAGCTCTTAGACTAATACTTTAGGTTTGCAATAAAATTCTCAAGTTTTTCATTCTAGGAACTACAAACGCCCGACGCACTCTTGCTGAACCCTGTATACTTCTTCACTTACCTTTTTTCAGATAAATATTATAAATAGTCAAATGGTATTATACAATTAGCACTTGATAATTATGGGGCTTTAGTGTCGAGTGGCTGTCCATATTTAGTGTTATACGAAGTCGAACGTCACCATGGCAATTTTCGTTTTAACAAAGTTTTCACACACACCGCTGCCTCGCTACTTAATACAATTAACATAGCCGAAGAAAATCGATAGCCAGCTTATTACAAATTGGTAATTAGCGTAAAATGTTACCCGTTAGTTATTGCTTCAAACAACATTATTCAACCTTAGAGCTGAAACTGACAATTTGTGTGTGCTATAACACATTCCCCATCTCATATAGCGCCTGACTAAATTTCAGCGAACATGCAATTCGGTTACAGTCGAAGATGTTTGTTGTTTTTTCGAAACATCGCCCATTTTTCAGCTATCTTCGGCCTAACACCATTGTACGATTTTCACGGAAAGAAATTCTATAGAGAAAAAATATTTACCTTCTACTTGGCATTCGTTGGAGTAATAATGCTGTATTTGGAAGTCCAGACAATCTTGATGTACGTTTCTTACAGATACAGGATGACCCAGTGTTCCGAAAAAGCTCAATACCAGGTTTTCTATTAATTATTTTTAAAAAAAATTTTAAAAATTATCCGGGCACTTTACGGACGTTTTAAAAATATATTCTTAAATACCGGGTGTTTTTCAAAAGTGACTCACTCCTATACAGGGCGTCAAAAAAATAGCGCATCTAACTGCGATGGGTGATTCTACAGATAAAAAATTGGCGCCGGGAGGCACGTATAGCCACCCATACTAAAATATGTTAATAAAAAGTTGGTAGGCAATTCTTTTAGTTTCAAAGTAAAGAAATTTTTTCAATTTTTTTTATCTCAAAAACTGCGACTTTGACTGATTTTGATGTTATTACAAATTTTGTTGCAAATATTATTCCTAATCTTAAATTGAAAATCGCTTTTCGCTAGCTACTGTAATTTTGGAGTTACGATTTTTTTTTTAATTTTTAACCCCCTCCTATACCCTCTTACCAACCCCCCACCCCCACCAAAAACTAATGGCCATATTCTTGGGTTCCACAGTATTTTTGTGCCAAATTTGGTTAAAATCGGTTTAGCGGTTTTTGAGTTATCGTGTTCCAACTAAAAATAATATATTTTGTTCATTTTTAAGAATATTGGTAAACCGTTTTTGTTGACATTTGGTATCCTTACACACATTTTAATGCCAAAGCGAATGGCGATAGTGTAAAATTCCGTTAGGTATTTTTTTACTTTATTCATTGAAAATGACACTGTAAATAGAATAACATATCATAAATGAACTTTTGACATTTTCGGATATGGTTTATTTACAATTGTAACATGCGGTTCATAACGACAATTTGACTCGAAATATCAAGTGTGTGGTACCAAATTATTCGTAAAAAATATTGCGATGTTGGCGAAAAGATAAAAATAACCCTGTATAAAATAAGGTAAACTTTCCTACCCTGGTTTATTCTGTTATCGTTGGTGTTTAAGAAAATATAGCTAAGTATTAATAAAGTTATAAATTCGCTCCACTTTTCGGATATAATGTTTTTAATAAAAGTTTTAGTAAATAAAAAATAGTATGACAACACCGCATACTGCTTCAAATTAAAATAGTGTACTAATAGGCAGAATTTTATACTGAATACAATTATCTACAGAAAAATACGGGGTGCAATTTAAAAAAAAACTTAAAACTTTATCCTAACTTTTTTTGAGACACCCAGTATACAACAAAATATTTTTATGATATGTCTTTTCATAAACTATCTGTACAAAACTTTTTTTTATATCATCAAAAACGAGGAGGATATTGGACTTCCAAGCACTAATGGGTCACTCTGTATTTATGAAAATATAAAGTAAAAACAAAAACGTTAAACACAAAACCTGACTTAGAGCATTTTTAAAACACTGAATTACCCTACACCGGGTGCGTCTCGAAAGTGGCTCACCCCTATAACTTTTTTATGTTTCCAGATGAGAAAACCAGATTTGGTACGTTGGTATATGACAAAAATTAGCATTAATTGACGTATTCAATTGTTTTTTATCACTTCCTGTCTCACCGGAAATAATTACAACTTTTGATTTTTACATGGCACCCTCGATATATTTTATCCGATAAAAACTACGTATCCGATAGAAAATGACACTCTGAATACAACATATTTATCAAATGTCAACTTTTGACATTTTCAAATATGGTTTATTTGAAATTATAACATGCGATTCAAAACGATAATTTGATTCGAAATACCAAGTGTGTGGTGTGAAATTACTCGTAAAAAATGCTTTTTTAAATATGTTAATGAGTGACTCTTGTTCCATTTGAAAAAATCGAGATATGATTAAAAATACGATTTGGGCATCTTTTAGCCGGCCAGGACAAGACACGAAAAACATTAGACGATCAAATCTGTTTTTCCAAGGCTCCTTGATTAAAAATTAGTCTTTTTAAAACAGCACTCTAGATTGAAATGTAAAATACGATTTTTTTTCAAACGAAAATGTCATTCTACTCATAGTGTCATTTTCTATCGAATAGTAGGAATAAACCGTGGGTCCCATTTAAAAATCAAAAGTTGACTGACCAAAAACAATTGAATACGTCAATCAATCCTAATTTATGTCATATACTAAAATAACAAACCTCGTTTTTTTATCTGAAAAAATAAAAAAGTTATAGGGGTGAGCCACTTTCAAGACGAACCCGATATATTGTGGATTTTTATTTTGACCTTACATTTTATCTACGTTTTCTAGGATGTATTATTCTCCCTCGTTCAACCTGGTAAGCCTCGTAGCAGTATTGGGTGAATTAATGGGTGTCTTAATATGGTCAACTGCCCTTTACCATACCAGTTGGAAAAAGGGTATCTGGAAACGTCTGTTTATCGATATTGCAACACTAGAAGACGCTAACCACCTCAACACTAGCAAAAGCTTGGAAACGAACATATTTAAAAGTGCCACCCTTCAACTTATCCTCACAATTTTGATGATAATGGGTCTTTTCTCTTACGAACCTTTGGTCCAAAGTAATCAGAAGGTATTTTTATATACGTATGTTTTATTTCAAAGCTACATGAAACACAAGTTGATTGATACGATTTTAGGACGACCTATGTATACTTTTTTCTACATTTCTTGCTGTCGTTGATTATTGGAAATGTAGCTGTCATTCTAAAGTTGAAATTTGAAGATATTAATCAGCTCCTTTCAACATACGAATACGAGAATGTTACTGCATTAATAAAAGGTACATACATTTGCAAGTTTTTATATTTCACTTCCGAAATTCTTATTATGTAAATACACTCACCGGCACCAAAATCTTTTCATGTATTTTAAAGTTTTATACCCGGCTGACAAGCGAACCTATAGGTCGGCGTTTACGTGTATAGGAGTGAGTCGTTATGACAATCTAGTAAATCGGAGCCAGGGCCATGTAAGTGAAATATTAAAAATGGTTCCAGCAAAAGTTTCCCAATTATGACGGATGATGGCGCTGATCGTCAAAATTTTTGGACAGGGATTTTGCTTACCGACAATACGACTTGAGCTACGACCGGACCAGGACCAATCAGAATGATCAGTCTTTCTTGGACATTTGCCGTGGAAGTGTGTGTTAATTTCTGTTGTGATAAGTGTGGTTGTGTTTGCAGTTTGATTTCTCGGTTTTGATATTATGTTAAAATTAATTTTGAAGTATTGTATCACCTGTTTTTATGTAATAGTACTTTTTTTAGTTCTATGATCTGATATGTTATGATTTGTTAATGTTTGTTTAACAATGTTATACCAAAGAGGTTAAACTTAATATACTTATGAATTTGCATAGCCTATCTTTTTTATCAATAAACTTCAGATTATTTAATTCCTTTTGTTTCCGTTTGTAATTTTATTTTTAAGACATATTATGTGATTGTTTCACATAATATGTTTTAAAAATAAAATTGCAAATAGCGAATAAAAATAATTAAAATAAAAAAGTGTATTTTACAATTCCCCCCGGCCCCGCACCCCTTTTGCTAACCTATAATGTCAGCTATGTCGAGAGATGGCGTTACGAAAATGGAACCGATTTATTACAAGGAACTTGGGCTTCTTTTTCGTTAGTATATTCTGTGGTCGGAGCAGTAGCGTAACTATCGATGTGCCGTGTGTGCGAAGCACACGGGCCGGGGCTCTGGGGGCCCGCGGCCGCATCCTTCTATATCTATCACGTGCTGTCGCGAATCAAGCAGAATCGGGCGATCCCGAACTAAGTTCTTATCTATCACATATCTTCTTAACTACTTAACTAGCACGGATAGATATACGACTAGCTTAATTAGAAACGGTTAAACAATCGAGCCTTTAAATACAACCAATGAAATTAATATCGTATCAACGTATCGTCGGACAACGGATGCATGAAAATCAAGCTTTAAAGCAGCAATAGCCGATACTTTAGAACATAAACCATCTCTACTGGAGTAAACGTCAATAAACAATAATAATAGGGGAATTTCGCTTAAAATGACATATGCGGGTAAAATGACATACTGCCCAAATTCAAATTTCCCGCGATACTACTGGTGTTGTTCTATCTCTACTTCTTCCTCACATGTGCGTCACGTGACACATTTAATATGGGATGTCAATCAGTTGGCTTGTAGCTTTTAGACGAGTATATGTGTTTTGAGTCAGAAGCAGTTTTTAGTACGAGTTTCGTTTTTCATATTTTCAAGTTAATCGTAATTTTTTTGGAAGTTATTATTACAAGGCAGGTAAGTTCCATTCGTTATCTTGAATTTCCAATGCTAATGAATCTAATAATTATATTTTGTGAAAAGTTAGAACAATTAAATGCTGCCAATGTATTTATGGGTAATATGACATAGGACATATTTATGGGTAATATAACATAGTATGTCATTTTAAACTTAATTCTTAATAAATAATTCTTTTAATTCTTCTGTTGTCACGAACCTGGTCTTAGAAGAACCATCAGATCAAACTGATCTCACTGAACCTGGATGTTCAGGTTTGCAAAATCAAATTGAAAAGCATCCATTAGAAATGGATACTTTTCAACAATCGACAAACTCAGAACAAGAAACAGAATACCAGATAGTAAGGCTAGAAGAGATAAAGCCCACTCCAAAAGCCGTGGAAATAAAAAACAAAAGAAAGAGAAGCAGTCAAGATCCGTTGGTTTTTACTTCAACACCAAATTTAGACGAATTAAAAGAGAAGACTCGATGAAAAAATTTAGGTCTAAGAGACAAAACGTGTCGCTCGATATAATGAATCGTTTTTCCGATTCCACTACTAGCGACGACAAGGATGAGGTTGCTTGCATCTACTGCAATGACCTTTATTTGCGATTGAAACCTATGGAAATGTGGGTAAAATGCCAGTCATGCATGAAATGGTCTCACATTGAATGCGCCGGAATAGATCCAAAAGCTAAGATGTTTACTTGTGATATATGTGTTTGATTTCAACATAATAGTCGATGTATGTGATAAAAATGAGTTTATTTTTGCAGTGTTTATTATATTACATATTATATATATATATATATATATATATATATATATATATATATATATATATATATATATATATATATATATATATATATATATATATATATATATATATTTCAATATTATTGTAATATAAATCGCAGCTCTAAAAAAATAAATGATATTGTTTACTAATGTGTAATTTATTTACTATGGATTTTCTCTGAAAATAATAAGCCTTTAATAATATTGATTTGCTGTGTAAAGTTAATAAACATATTTTTTAATACATTAAATTATATTAAAGTAATAAAAATATGTTTATTAACTTTAAACAGTAAGTCAGTGATTCTTATAAAAAATATTTTTTTAAAAATTTCCCCTCTTTTAAGCCCCGCCCCTCCAATTCCCCTCAATTTAGCTAGTACTGCCAGGCGACACCAGGTGGCGTCTGTTTCCATTTTTTAACATGAAGTTAGCATTTCTTTAATGTACCTATTCTCTGGTTTGACCGTTTGGCCTGTCAGACGCCATTAGTCCCGGTTTTTTTAGAAATGGTGATTATTTAAATCTTGCTGTATAATCTGAATCAGCTGCTATTTCGAGGCTACAGGTAAAGATGAGTTATTACCTTTTATAGATTCGATATTATTAGTGAATATTTTTAGGGTAGAGTTACGGATGTCCCAACTTGTATTTGTATTTTGCTGGCACGTGTTCCTTTTCTTTTGTCCTCCAGAATGTCACATGGAAGAAAGGACAGGTTGTTTATTATTTATTGAGCCCTCGGAAGTATTTCGAGGTAGGTTTATTTTGTTTATTAGACCTTGTTTGGTTTTAAACAAGAGTCTCATATTTTTAAGGTCCAAGGTACGGATAGTGTCTTATGTACGGACATTATCTTATGTACGGATGTCCTGTGGACGAGTGTCCCCAGTAAGAACGATTTTCTCTTACATATAAGTGCCACAGCGTGGATGTAGCTTGAGTCCCATGCTGCTTCGTTCCCAGCTATAAGCTAGTTAGTTACGGCTGTGTCAATTCATGGTGTCCTCATTCTGGCCCCTTTGGTTGTGTTGGATGGCTGAGTACAGAGATGCGAGACCACCTCACGCTGTTACTGTTTAAAGCAAGATTACATAAAGAACAGCTAAGTGTAGATTTAAGTTCTAGTTTTACATTTAACATTTAAAACATTTACAGTCTTAAACAATAACGTACATCTTAAATAATATCGTACAGACTATGTTTAGTGGTTAGATTGTTAAGAACATTCATGTCGATTTAATATTTAATATAATAATTAATACTAAATATAATTTAGATCTTAGGTTTCATTGCATTACATCTTGTAATGGTATTACTTTTATAGATATTATTATCGCACTATTTTAACAGATGAATAACCAAACATAGATTCTAGAATCTACAGGTTGCAACATCTTCGATTTAGCATCATATGGAATATATCAAATTAATTAAAGTAATGCTACATTTCATATATTCTCTTAAACTTTACATGTCTTGTATTTTATCGTAGTTGTTTTCATTGATATTTAGTACGACTCTTACCACCACTTTCTTTGACTATATATTTATTAGAACTCTACAATGTCATGTACCATCTAAGAACATCATGAATAAATATAGTCATTAGTTTTAAGTAATATACAACTGTGTTTTCTTTCTCTGTACATACCTGGCGCCCAATATTTATAATTTCGAGTTATTATTGTTAATTAGTTTCCTTCCAGTGAAATACCTTATCCATGACTGCTCTACCAACGAAAAGCTGCCGTTCGCAGTGATAATGTTTTAAAGAAACGCTACAAGTTAATATACACTCACCGGCACAAAAAATGGACACCTTTAAATTCTGATGTATTTTAAAGTTTAATATATTTTTTCTACGACTAGCCTAGAAAATGCAGTTTGACACACGGAAAACTCGATCTGAAATTGGCGTTTTGCAAACTGTTGTGTGCTAAGAATTTAGCGCACGACATGTGACATTTTGCACACGACATGTGCTAATTTTAACATTTTTAACCTCCAATGTTTAGCTGAAACGCCAAACCGAAAATCCATAGTAAATAAATTACACATTAGTAAACAATATCATTTATTTTTTAGAGCTGCGATTTATATTACAATAATATTGAAATATATATATATATATATATATATATATATATATATATATATATATATATATATATATATATATATATATATATATATATATATATATATATATATTTATTAAATCGACGGAGTCAGACCCAGTACGTTGAAGATAGGCCGTCAGACCTGGGGTATATCGGACGAAAATGTTCAAGCTGATGCCTTCAGGCCCTGATGCTGGACCGTTTAATTTGTCCGAGTTATATAAAAAATAGAGGTTTTTCGTTTTCGCCAGACCCACGACGTTGCCGCTTTTAATTCTCAAATATTTATATTAGAATTAGACGAACGGACCTTTTGACGCGGTAATGGATCACAGTGCAGAAGTAAAAACGGTGCATTTCTGCTATAGTGAATATTATTGTACTTATTGTTAGTATTAGATATATTCTGTCTTATAAATGCTGTACTAAATCTGTACGAAAGCGTTTTTATCTGAAATTCCTTTAAAAATTAAATTTCTTTGTAATAAGCATAATCAAGTTACAATGCATTATCACTTTCGTTTAGATTTTGTAAGTGTTTACTAAGTGATGATGGAAACCGGTTTATTATCTTT